GGACAGGCACATGATTACACTTTGGGCGAGTGGATTAGCTTCTTGCGCGGATCACCATATTCCAAATTTACTTTTGCGACATCGTCTTACGTATCGGTTCGCCCGCCATTCGAGGGGGGCGATCGCGCCTGTCGGATTTGGCGGGGCCTCGACGTCGCTTGCCAGTGTCAGTGTGGAATCAAGGTGAGCGAGTTGGAGGATGATCGCAAGGTGAGTCTTTTAGCTGCGGGGGGGCGCGGGCGTTTGCCGCCGCGCAGGTGCCAGGGGCAATTGGGAAACGCCCGGGGAAACGGAGGGCGGCAGGTCGAGGAAGAACGGGGGATTGGAAGGGCAAAGCAGCGGGCGGGAATGGGGAACATAGCGACCCGGCGAGATGTTCTGATAGGGGCGCGATGTGGGCGGAGGCCGCAGTTGGAATTCCTTCGGATAGCCCTGCGACGTCCAGACACCTCCGCCCAGAGGCCGGAAGGGGATTCAGCGGCCCTTGCCTTCCTGACTCTGCGGGCGGGGCGCGACGACGCACCCGACGTGTACCCCGCCCCTTTAGCTAGGTGCCGGTCTGCACGTGCTCGCCCCGCTCGAGACATCCAGCACGTTCAGAACTACACTTAGCCAGGCACTAGGTGTAATTATGTACGTGCTGGTTTCGCCGGAGACATCCTCACATAACGGAGCACTTATAGAACTACACCTAGCCAGCGGGGCGGGGTGCATGTCGGTCGTCGCGACTCGCGCCCCCAACGTGCGCCGCGCCCCGGCCGCTAAGTGCCGCCCTGCACGCGTCCCCTTGTCGCGAAGCATCGGCTGCCCACGCTGCCCATCGCCGCGGCCCCGCCCCCTGGGCCGCTTCCCACCGACTTCCCACATCCCCTGGTTCAGCGAAGCCAGCCGTATGGTTGGGGGCCCCGACGTCGCGCAGCCCGCTTCCCTCCCGCGCCTGTGCCCCGGCAGCACATCCGCGATCCGATCCCCCGCGCTTTCGAGTTCTTCTTCGCGCTGGATTCCCCGTCCGAGGGTGAAACGCACGTTCGCGCTATGATTGTTTTTCGCGGCAGCCGCCAAGCCTCGCCGTGAAACGTGGCGATCGCTTCCACGCTTGGCACGCAACGTCGTCGGCGCGACCATCGCCGCCCATCGTAGGTCGCGAGGCGGTGGGCGTCCGTCCACCCAGACCGACCGTCGCGCCAAATCTAATTCTTCACGCTTCGCGTATCCCCACCAGCCCATCTCAAAACAGCAACTCTAGCGAAGCATGCCGACAGTCGTGATTTTCAGGCGTGTTTCCGCCTGCCCCCGCATATCTCCCCTGTTCCTCCTTCTTCCCGCCTCCTCGTACATCCTCCTTGTGGTGGGAGCGGGAGAAGGACGACGCGGAGGAGGAGGGAGAGAAAGCGCTCCTCGTGGTTTGAGTCGTTCGGGCTTCTCGTCCTGGTGTGAGTCGTTCGGGCCCTTCTTCCTGGTGTGAGTCGTTCGGGCTCTTCGTGGTGTGAGTCGTTCGGGCTCTTCGTCCTGGTGTGAGTCGTTCGGGCTTCTCGTGGTGTGAGTTGTTCGGGCCCCTCGTCCTGGTGTGAGTCGTTCGGGCCCCTCCTCCTGCCCGTCCAGAAACGACGCCCAGGCGAGTAGAGGGTCGTCTTGATGGGTTTTTCGGCGTCTTGGGTGCCTCGGGGGGGCCTCTTTGGGCCGTTTGGGATCCTCTGGGGGGCCTCCTGGGGGCCTCTTGGGGCCATATTGGGGCCTCTTGGTGCCTCCTGGGCGCTTCTTGGGGCCATCTTGGAGGGAATCGATCAAAGAAGAGGGGAGCTTTAATGAGCGCTGCCCCCTCAGAAGGGCAAAGTGAGGCCAAAACCTGCGTAAAATCAATGATTTTGCCTTGAAAGAAGAGGGGAGCTGTAAGGAGCGCTGCCCCCTCAGAAGGCCAAAATGGGGCCAAATCCGTAGTAAAATCAATGATTGTGGCTTCAAAGAAGAGGGGAGGGTTTTTTCTGCCTCCCCCCGTCGGGGCCAGAATCCTCGTGAGGGGTGTCGTTTTTTAGCCCTCCCAGGAGTCGAAAAAGACCCCTCCAACGACCCGCGAAAGGACATCTCCAGGCCCAGGGGGAGGGGGTAGGGGGAGGGGTAAACCCTTCCCCGAAGGGGAAGAAGGGGGTTGAGAACAGAGCGGGCTCTCTAAACCACTCACGCCCAAAGGGCTGGCGAGGCGGTGGGTGTCCGTCCACCCAGACCGACCGTCGCGCCAAATTTAATTATGATTGCCACCCCTGGTCCCCGCAACAAGGCGCAGTTTTGCCGCGCGTAGTTGTAGATGCGTTCGATTTTGGACGAAAAAAAAAAACAACAAGCAAAACCAAAAAAAAAAAACGCTAGACCATTTTAGCCCGAAGGGCTGGTGGGATTTCAGAAACTCGGCCAGACAGATCTTGGCATTCGTTCACGCCTCAACGACGTGATTTGCCAAGGCCACCGTGCTAAGGTCCGCCAGGGCCTCCACGACGTGGTCTGCCAAGGCCTCCGCGACGCGGTCTGCCAAGACCACCGCCAGACCACCTCGGCCAAGGTCTGCTGCGGCCACCGTGCCCTGTGGCCCTGTGCACGCCGAGCCAACGTGCACAATCACCAGCCTCGAACTTATCCCTGTCCCTGAGCCATCGTGATGAGGCGATGCCCAACATGGGGATAGGGATCTGTTCCAGGCTGGTGACACAAGGCACGGCGGTTGATCTTTACCCTTCCTTCGCCTTGTTGCGTGGTGCTCCAGGCCTCGGCGAGCGGGCCCCCCCGCCTCGGCGAGCGGGCGGGGCCGACCCGGACCTCCAGCGGCGCCCGGACCTTTTGCTAGGCGCGCGGAGCTCGGCAGCCGTCGGCCCCGCGCAGCGGAGAGCAGGGCAGCGCCGCGCCGGGGAGACGACGGCAGGGCCCGGGGGGCACCGAGGCGTTGACAGGTGCTTGGGTGGCTCCACGCTTGCCCCACAGTAGGAGGAGGAGGAGGAGGAGGAGGAGGAGGAGGAGGAGGAGGAGGAGGAGGAGGAGGAGGAGGAGGAGGAGGAGGAGGAGGAGGAGGAGGAGGAGGAGGAGGAGCACTTTTCCGGGGCGCGGGGCCGAGGTGGGCACCGAGCGGGGGCAGCTGCACTGCTGGAAGCTGCGCGTGCGACGAAGCAGGCACCGTGGACGCCGAGTCCGAGGCCCCAAAACCATCACGTCACTAATTTTGGGCCCCAGGGCCCACTTGAGGCCCCAGGGGCCCTAGATTAGTGAAGTGATGTTTTTTCCGATTTAAGAACCCCGAAATTCATCACTTAACTAAACCGAATCCAGGACGAAAGTCAGGGGCCGAATTGCTGCTGTGATGCAACATTGGTCTCGTATCGAGGCGGTCCCACGTGCCTACGGCCTTGGGCCCACGCGCCGTGCCCAGAAGTCCAGACGCCGCGAAAGGGCCACTGCGGACGTGCTCTTGCTCCGGAGCTCGTCGTCTGGGGGGGGTTCTTCTCGGACCCTGGGCCGCCAACACAAAAACGCACTCGCGACGAGCATCTATGACACTGGGGTCTCGGTGCCGGCTCGGCGGTCGGGCGGGGTGGCAACGGGGGGGGACCTAAAGGTGGGGTGAAGGAGAGGGCCCGAAAGGAGCCCTTCTGGGCCCCTCTTCGGCCCCTGCTGGCTCCAAATCGGGCCCGCCCCTCTAGGGCCCTCTTCTCCCCCCCGTGGAGGTCACCCCCCTGACCATCCAGCCGAGGGGGGCCCGCGCAGCGAAGAACTCACGGCGCGGGAGATCTGGGCGGGCTGCCCTCTGTGAGCCGCGGAGCCCGAAGCAGGCACCCAGCCCCTCGGCGTGCTCTCGGCGAGGCCCAGCCGCAGGAGAGCGCCCCTGCGGGGGGGGGGGGGCCCGACGGGGGCCTGGGCTGCCAGAGCCCCGGCAGATCTCCTGTCAGCTTCAGAGGGCGAGGAGACGCAAGCAGACTCGGGGGCGGCCAAGAGGGGAGAGGTGACCAGGGGAGGTGGAGCTCATGGTGGGGGCCACGGCACATCCCCGGAGTTCACGGCGCCTCGTGTGATGTCAACACGTCCGCAGCCCCCCCCCTCCCCCCTCTGGGCCGCGCACATTCCCCGGACCATGGCTTGCGAGCACCCCCTCCTGGACGGGCCCGAAGATGCAGACACGGCTTCTTAAGGCGCGTGGGTCGGCGGCGGGCCCCGCTCTTGTGCAGCAGCGGCGCGCTCCGGCGCCGGCTCGGGCGGCCGTGGCCTCACGCCTCGGGGAGGCCTGCTCCGATCCGTGGGCCCGGCGCCCGCGCCTCAGGTCCGCGGATCCGTAATCCACGGCAGCGTGTGCCCGAACTGGCCCTCCACGGGCGCCGCCGCCACCGGCAGCTGAGCAGAGCATGCTGCAGACATACAGTGGGCGGCTTGAACAAGGAGCACTTACTTTTCAAAAGGGGCTCGGTCGTTCCTTCGGTTTGCATGCGGTATCTGCAGTTCCTTATGCGTTATTTGTTATGTATCGTTCCTTATGCGTTATCCCTTGGGATAAAAAAGGGGCTTCGTTCCTTATTTATCGTTCCTTAGGTCAGGCCGATGACTGTACATCCCAACGACGTCGAGCTGCCGAAGGCGGCGGATGCCAACGCTGCGCGAGCTGGAGCCATTTTGAGGTTGGCCGCGGGCATCTTACGCTCGGGGCCGTCGCTCGAAACCAATGGTGTTGAGCGTGTGCCCAAAGAGGGCACTTCTTCCAGCAGAGCGGACCGTGCGAGCCACGCAGGGCTCATGTCGACTCCTCCGATTCGATTCGACTCGCTTCAGGTGGATTCCGGTGCCGATTCGACTTGCCTTCGGGTTACGATGTGGATTCTGGCTTCTCCATGGAGGCCCTATTAGCCAGCCGACCTCCGCCGGTTCGGTCTCTCCCGACCTGGCTGCCGATGTCCGCCGATCCGGTCTATCTAGTCGCTCCGCTCTCCCCGCCACGGGACGGCGGAGGCCCCGCGGCCGGCCCCTGCGAGGCGGGCCCGCGGCGAGCGCGGTGGACGCCGAGACGGGGGCGCGGGTCTGGGGCTTCTCGGCGCAGCCGCCGGGCGGCGCTGGCAGCCTGGCAGCGCCGCCCGCCCCCCGGTGGCGGCGACGGGGGCGGGCAGCCCAGGGGGCGAGCAGCGCGCGCACTCGCCCGCGAGCCTCGCCGAGGGCCTGGACCGTCGGCGCGCTTGGACACACGTGTGTTGGTCTCCGCTGGGCTGTGCGTCCCCCTCGTCGCCCCCGGCCCTCCCCGTCGGCTGCGGGCCGGAGGGGTCGGAGGGTCGCCTGGCCTCCCGGGTGAGAGTCGTGAGATGCTCGTGTGGGGGGGACCTCCCTGGAGCCCATCCGACGGATCTGTTCGGCTCCGCTTCGACTCGCCCACGGCTCCTGTCCGACGCAGCATCGCCGCACTCGTTCAGCTCCAGTTCGACGTCTGCCTGACGCAGCATCGACGCACGAATGGAGCAAGTGGTTCTGTAGGAATCAGCGAGCGAAGAACGGTGTAAAATATTTGTTTCGCTGTCGGGGGCGCCTGCCCCTGGGCGGCTGGAAAGTTTATACCCCTACGGTGCCACCGTAAGGGTATAAACTTTCCAGCCGCCCTGGGACAGGCGCCCCCGACAGCGAAAAAGTTTATGTTATACTGTTCTTCGCCCGTTAATTCCAGGAAGGTCCCCAGAAGGAGCCTCCAAGACGCGAGGCTCCGGGCTTGTCGGGCGTCCTCGTCGGTCCTCGCCGGTCGTATGAGACCTCGGGGGTGCTGCTGTCCAGCAGCCGCGCCCCCTGCCGAGGGGCGTCCAGGGCGCACCCGCATCGCCCCGAGCGGCCGCCGGAGACTCGAGTCTCAAGAGGGGAAAAAACACACAATTAATCGTCGGTTCCCCAGAAAATATGGGAAAATATGGGAAGTGGGGGGGGAAGACAAGAACCCAGAAAATATGGGGAATACTTTTGTGTGTATGTATTTGTGTGTCCCAGGGCCCCTTCAGAGTCACCACCCGAAGGGGCCGACCCAAAGTGGGGTCAGAGCAGAGACGGAGTCTCAAGCAGTGGCGAAGCGTCCTGGCTCGCCCACAGGCCCACCAGAGAATGTTCTAAGAACACTCTTTGTGGCTTCCACGAAAGTGTCTTTGTTCCTTTCTGGCCGAGGTTGTCTTGTTTGATGGCATCGGGCTCATGTTCGAAGAACCTTGCTTTTGGTCTTAGAACATCTGGGGGTTCTAAGAACATCTCGTGGTAGGACTATAGGAATGCCGGGACGGTCGGTCCCTGCTCCGGAGGTAGGAGCAGGAGGAGGAGGAGGAGGAGGAGGAGGACGACGACGAGTTCTAAGAACATCTCGTGGTAGGACACCCATCCAGGAGGCCTCCGGAGGAGAGCGGCTGGGCCGCGCGCAGGAGGGGCTCGCGAGGGCGGGTGCGCGTGCGCACGCCTGCGACGCTTCGGTGGGGGGTCGCCCCTGCCTCCTCGGGCCTCCCGTGGCCGCACCGGCCCAAGGGGCCCGCGCGAAGCTCGGAAAGTGGATGCGTCTGCAGCCTCTTGCTGCTCCAGCGACGCGGCCGCGGCCACAGATCAAAGGCAACGTTAGGGGTCGAAGGGGGGCCGCACCAGCCCAAGAGGTCCGCGCGAAGCTCGGAAAGTTGATGGTTCTGCAGCCTCTTGCTGCTCCAGCGACGCGGCCGCGGCCACAGATCAGGGGCAACGTTAGCAATCGAAGGGGGGGACAGGCTCAGGGGGGGCGCATCGACCCCCGAGTGCCCACTCGTCGCCGGTAGGGGCCCGATAGCCCACACCGCCCAAGGAGCGTGCGGCTTCGCTGTCGGGGGGCCCGTCGCTGATTCTGGGTCGTTGCGTCCCCCCTCCCTGAGCTGGTCCCCCCAGCGTGAGGCGACGCTTGGCGTGAGCGGAAGAGGGCAAGAGTCAAGAGCGGACATCTCGTGTTCCCTAATCGGCATGCGAGCGCATGCGACCTCTCGCCCCCTGTCCCCGAGATCCCCCCCACCGAAAAGAGTCGAGCCGCGTAGAAGATATGGGGAACTCGGGGACGCACACCCAGGAGGGCTCATCCGAACGCACCCCATGTCGAAGCTGGACGCCCCCCCATGGCACATTCCCGCGTGGTGCCCAAATTTCTGGCCCAGTCGGAAACTCACCGCGTCGGAGATTGGGGCCGCCATATGCCACACCCCCCGCCTCCACCGTCTGGGAGGGGTGGAAGAAGGAAAGGGGGGGAATGAGAGGGGGGAGGGAAGGGGGTGCAGGAGAGGGGCTTGGGAGGACGTAAGGGAGAAGGGAGGGAGGAGGAAGAGGAGGAGGAAGTGAAGGAGGAGAAGGAGGAGGAGGAAGAGGGGGAAGAGGGAGAAGAAGGAAGAGTGGAGGAGGAAGTGGGAGGAGGGGCAGGGGGAGGAGGAAGAGGGAGGAAGAGGAGGAGGAGGAGGAGGAGGGAGGAGGAGAGCAGAGGAGGAAGGAGGGGAGGGGGGGCAGGAGGAGGAGGAGGAGGAGAGAGCAAGAGGAAGCAGGAGGAGGGGAGGAGGAGGAGGAGGAGGAGGAGGGGGAGGAGGAGGAGGAGGAGGAGGAGGAGGAGGAGGAGGAGGAGGAGGAGGAGGAGGAAGAGGAGGAGCAGGAGGAGCAGGAGGAGGAGGAGGAGGGGAGGACGCAGCAGGAGGAGGAGGAGGAGGAGCAGCAGGAGCAGGAGGAGGAGGAGAAGGAGCAGGAGGAGAAAGATCAGGAGAGACGCAGCAGGAGGAGGAGGAGGAGGAGGGAGGGGGAGGAGATTCGTGCGCCTGCGTGCCCAAAAGTATTCCCACCATCTCATCCAGAAACGACGCCCAGGAGAGTTGAGGTGACCAGGGAAGTGTAGCAGCAAGAGAGGGGGGCAGCTGTTATCTTCGAAAGAGGAAGAGGAGGAGGAGCAGGAGGAGAAGGAGGAGAAGAAGGAAGAGGAGGAGGAGGAGGAGGAGGAGGACATGGAAGAGGAGGAGGAGGGAGGAGGAGGGAGGAGGAGAAGGAGTAGGCAGATGAGAAGGAGGAGGAGGAGGGCGAGCAATAGGCCAGATGCATCTTGGATGCCTCTCGCAGGCTCTTGAGATGTCTTTCGAGAGTTTCCTGAGAGGCCTCTTGAGGCGTCTTGGGGGCTGCTGAGGGGCCTCCTGGGGGCCTGCTGGGGGCCTCTTGAGGCTCTCTTGGGGCTATCTTGCGAGCCCTGGAGGTCCTCTTGAGGCCATCTTGGAGGAGGTCGCTCAAAGAAGGTGGGCGCCGTAACTAGCGCCGCCCCTCTGGAGGCCCACAGTCGCCTCCTGTACCCTCTTGGGGCGCTCTTGGAGCGCTCTGGGTCGCCCTCGGGGCCGTCATTGGGTCCTCTTGGGCCTCTCTTGGGGCCCTCTCGGGCCATCTTGGATCCATTTTGACGCCTCGGAAAGCCATCAGAAGCGAAAAGGCGAGAAAGCAAAAAGCAGTGATCTGTCCTAGGTGTTGTGAGGATTTGGGCCTCTTGGGGGCGCTCCGAGGCCAATTGGAGCCGTCTTAGGGTGGTCTTGGAGCCTCTTGGATCACGTTAGAAGCTATTTGAGCTATCGCTTCTCGGAGGCCATCTTGGGCTTTCTGAGGCCCTCTTGGAGCCATATTGGACGCTCCGGGGCGCCCCGTCCAGGTCCAGCGGGATGAGGTAAGGGGAAAAATAAACCGTGCCCCTTCCAACAGGGGCCTTTGCCACTGCTGTCATGTTCGCCACGTACACGTCCTTTGCCTGACATTGGCAGTCGCGACCCGTGATGTTCCAGCAATTGTCTCTTTGCGGCGCGCGTTCTCCAAAAGTTCTTTGGTCTGGACCAATTCCTCCTGGGACGTCAACGCCAGGTGTGGTGCGCCCCTCCTGGTTTGCGAGGCGTCTACCGTAACTTACTCGTGCTCGCAGGTGCGAATGTCGCCCGCCCCGATGAAAAAATTGCTCGGCAGTGCAGGAGTCCCGCCGTGGACGGTGCTGGTGGGACAGCACCGAAAGCGCGCCGCGCTGAAAGTAAGTGGGCAAGAGGAAGAGGAGGAGGAGGAGGAGGAGGAGGAGGAGGAGGAAGAAGGGGCAGGAGGCAAGTCCGTCCGTGCGAAACTTGGCTGGGAGCAGGTGCACCCCCCCCGCCAGGAAGCAACCGCTGCTCGGTCCTGGCCCGAACGGCCGTCGCTCCAGCAGGAGGAGGAGGAAGAAGAGGATGAGGGGGGTGGGGGAGTAGGACGAGGAAGCGGAGGAGGACGAGGACGAGGGGGAGGAGGAGGAAGAGGAGGAGGAAGCAGAGGACGAGGAGAGGACGAGGACGAGGGGGGGAGCAGGACGGGAACGGATGGAGAAGCAAGGGCAGCAGCACGGTCGGCAGCGGGAGCCGTCGGTCGCGTTGCCGAACGGCCTGCTCCGTCATCCTGCTGGCTCAAGCCTCGTGGGAAGGCCTGGGAGCGGGGTCCATGGCGGCTGCCCTGGGGCCCGACCCGGAGGCCTTCGGCGCACGGAGCGCAGATGGCACCGAGGTCGACGACGGCCCGAGCGACAAGGAGTGGCTTGAAGGGGTCGTGGGGGCGAGGGCGGGGCCATTTTGTCGTCATATCATGCACCTTCCCCCTCACCACAAGAGCCAATAGGAATTCCCCATCCAAACCTCTTCCTCCTTCACCTGCTGATGAGCATCATCAGTTACCACCTCCCCATTTGCATCCTCTACTCTGTGTACCCTTTTCTGTTCCTCCTCCTCCTCCTCCTCTTAGTCCTCGTCCTCCTCCTCCTCCTCCTCCTCCTCCTCCTCCTCCTCCTCCTCCCCCCCTGCCCCCTTGTCCCCAAAAAGTGTTTGCTGTTCAGGGCCCTTACTCTGGAATGAGGAACTGGGCCTGGCCGTCGGTCCAGCGGCTATGTCGTCACAGTCGTTGCCCCGTCTCCGCCTCCTCGCGCTCGCAGCCCGTCGTCTGGGCCTGGGTGTCGGTCTGGCGGCCGTGTTGTCGCCGTCGCCGCCCTGTCGCCGCCCCCCCGTCGTCTGGGAGTGGCGGTCGGTCTGGCGGCGATGTTGTCCCCTTGGCCGCCCCTTCGGCGCCTCGTCGCCCCGA